TTTTAAAATGATGAAAGCCGTACTTCATAATTGGCCTTCTAGCCTTCACTGTCAATCATAAACTTAATGCATAGTTTTCTTCTTGAATCTCCTTGTACCCTGATGTGAGTTGGCACCTGGCATGCTCTTCTGGCATTTCATGTGGCATGCATGCTCTTTTAAACACCATGTGCCCACTTTCTGTCATTTGTCTTGTGCTGAGTACACTATCACTGTACTCAACAATGCATATCATTGCCTTCCAGATCACAAATATGTTTGCCAATTCGCAATATAGTTGGTCACAACCTAAGAAAAGTATAAGCTCTGCTCATAGCCATGCATGAATACATGGTTTGTAGAAAAAAATGTAGACGATTCAGAGCTATGAGAGAGTGGTGGGCTGAGCCTAAAATTAGCTCTTTTGCTGAAGATATGCGTTCAACCCACTGACACTTGTTCGTTTTTGTAACATTCAGCACTTTTGCATGTTTAAGAAAGCTGAATTCTGGCATACATAAGTATATACATCTTTATAGCTGAATTTTGGTAGAAAACAAACATTCCAACAAATTTTAATAAAGATTCAGATATTAGCACTCAGCCAAATATAAAATTTTAGTAGCGAAACGCAAACTTCTCTTTGCCAGAATGACTACGTGTTTTCCCACCCACTTTAATGCACGTGTCAGCTAAGATAATCCGCATGCCACAGAAATAATCGAAGTGCCAAACTATTAAATCCATGTGCCAAAACTTTAATCCTAGAGCCAACACAAGTGCCAGCACAAATACCGTATTTACTCGATTCTACCGCGCCCTCGATTGTAACACGCACCCGGTTTTCACGATGAAAAAAAAAAAAAGTAAGACATCGATTGTAACGCGCACCCATTTTTCTCGTTGACCCGCACGATCACACCACTCGGGAAAACGACTCCTTTCGAGAGCATCTTCCGTTAAAATATGAGGTACGGGGCCTATCTGACGTGCAATGGAGCATTGTCGTCACTCTAGTTTTACCGTGGCCCGATGTCAGCACGCGAACTTCCTTCGCCCCATTCTTCTCGACAGTTGTGGTGCCAGGCATGTCGAAGTAAACAGGCGTCTGATCGGCATTCCCGATTTGCCCAAGCAGGCAGCCGTTGTGCCGCAAGTTTAGGACGAACCTCTGAAAACTGTGAAGCTCTTCATCGTACTCCTCTGGAAACTTTTCGCATATGCCTGTTCGCCTTCGGAGGGAAAAGCCTTTCCTCTTCATAAAGTTAGTTAGCCAGCACATGCTCGCTTTAAACTGTCTCCGCATTAGCCCTTTTTCTAAGGCTAACTGCATAGCCTGCACTTGGAGCAGTTCTGTCGTCACAGGCCGCTGTGCCGCTCACTGCTCAATCACATACTCGCCGAGCAGCTCTTCAATTTGCGAAAACCGACCGTGCTGTGGTCCACTGAAGCCTTTGCGTGAATCTTTGCTGTCGACAATATTCTACTTTTGTTTCTGCCAGTCCCGCACGCATGTTTTGGGAACTCCGAACGACCGCGATGCGGCCCGATTTCCGTCCGTTTCGGCACACGCTATGACTTTTCTTTTAAAAGCGGCATCGTGGTGCACTCGTCGAGTTTTTGGAGTCGGCCCTTCCAAGCAGTCGATGCTAATGCACTACAAGATGACGAACTCCTCAGTACACGTACGAAGTTCCGCACATGGGAAACACATAGAAGAAATGGCCGACGCGCCATGCCGACGCACGTAGGGGGTGGCCATGTTGGGAATGCCGTTGGCAATAAAATGACCGCATTCATTTTTTTCGTACTGGATTCCAACGCGCATGCGATTTATGAACTCGCTTAACCGGAAAAAAGGTGCGCGTTAGATTGGAGTACTTACGGTAGGCCATGTGCCAGTGAGTTTAATTCAAGTGTCACTATGTTTAATCCAATCACCAACAATTTTAATTCAAGTGCGAGTCAGTTTAATCCATATAGAAGAAACAGAAGGCTTGCCAGTTTATATAATGTAATGGCGGAAAACAGTACATGAGTAGACACGAATGTTTATTTTTTACCAGTGCATGCTAGGATTCATGAAATAAGGTACTGCAGTATTTTCCCCTCATGTTTTGGTGTCACACCTTGTAATTTCAATAGCAGTCTTGTTTAATTACATGTTTTGGTACTAAATATGTAGGCTCATAGAGTATGTGGCAAGAGTTTAAGGAGCAAGTCACTTTAGGGTTCATTGCTATTGTAGAATTTCTGGTAATCATGCATTTTGTTCATCGCATCTGGCAGACATTCCCATCGTCAGCATGCTGACAGTGTTAAAGGAACGCTAAAAGCTAATATTAAGTCATCACTGATAGAAAATATCAATCCAGAAATCTTGTAGTGCTACTTTCGTGCGAAGGAAAGGATTATTTTGAAATAGAATCGCATTTTAGAGGTCTGCATGGCGTTGGGGCTCTTAAAGTCTATAATGTAGTAGTTTCCTTGCCCAACGTTGCCCACCTTTACTGCGCGGCCGCTGACATACGCAAAAGGTTGTGGGAATGCAGGGTTACTTGACGATGGCGTCGACACCTAGTGATGCTTCGTGCAACTACAATCAGAGACGTGTTTGTATTTGCCTAGTGTTTTTAAGAAAAAAAAAAAAGACTAAAAAAGCAACCTATTCGCGATTGCTTCGCTGCAACGCATTCCAGCCAGAGGTAGAATGCACGACGTTTCTGCAATAAAATTTTGTGCTTGCCTAGTTCAAGTCGGGCCCGCTAGATGGCACCACATATGTAATCTAACTAGGTGAAAAAAGAACTTCAACACCTTTCGCACCATTCCCCAGGGTAACACCAAGTAGTTCTTTTTTTTCCCATGAATCAAACATAAACAAAGAAGCACCATTTTATTAAATGCTGTAATGCACGGAAGATTATTTTTATCATAGAAACTGGTTTAGGCACTAGTGGTTAATTGCGGTTGGATCCTTTGACATCATTGGGATAGTTTCAAAATGTCCCATTCGTAGTACTTACGGTGTCGTACATTTACCTTGATTTCTTGATAAGTATACTTATCAAGATAAGCATACTTATCACGTATACTTATCAAGAAACAGCAGTGCTTTATAGAGTACTGTTAAAAATAATGATGTTTTAGATGCTCTCAAACATTGAACTTTCACTTTGATGGAAATTGTTATTTGCCTTTTGTGTCCCTTATAGGGACACTAAAAGCAACTATTAAGTCGACGTTGCTTGTTAAAATAGCGGTCCAGAAACATCCTAATGTTACTTTCGTGCCAAGGAAGGACCTATTTTGAAATAAAATCATGTATTAGTGATCCGCATTGGGTTAACGCACTTTAAATTACCTGCCTCAAGAATCGGAACGTGTCACGCCACTGTTGCCGTGCACAGCATTGCCCGGCTTTACTGCGCGGCCGCCCACACTAGTAGCAGCAGAGTGGAAGCTGCGGGAGCCATGGCAGCAGCAACAGCCATTGATCATTTTCCTACCATTGGCTCCGAGATGGCAGGCATGTGTTGGATCAACTGGGCCCCGCTAGGTGGCACGACTTGTCTAGTTTAACCACGCAAAAATTGAATTTTTGAACCACTCGCGTTATTCCCCTATAATGTCCGGTAATTCTTTCCACAATTCAAACAAAAACGAACAAGCAGCGTTTTAGTGCGTCTCTTGATGCATGGAAGGTTATTTATTTAGTGCAGCTAGATTGATTACTAGTGATCAATTGTAGGTGGTTTGTCTGACGTCATCGGGATCATTTTGAGAATGTCCTATTCCGGCGCATGTATTCTTGTGCATTTACCTTAATTTCTCGGTAAGTAGGGCTCTGCTGCTGATAATATTGTCGTTTTAGATCTTGTCATACATTGAGATTTCCCTCTGATGTAAATTGTTATCTGACTTTAGTGTCCCTTTAAAGGCTATATTTTCGCTAAAGAGTTCGCAGTCATCTGCTCTACCTGGTTCCAGCAAGGGTGACTTACAAATAATATTCCTCCTTTCTTAAAATCAATGATTAACCATTTAAAACAACTAACCTAAGTTTCTTTGTGTTCATGTGAAATTAAGCTTTCCAGGAAAGCATCAAAGGAGATGCACATAGTCATGTAACAGGCGATACAGTGTTTCTGAAACGTGGTTGCTTGCGACACGTGTGTTTTCAGACGGGAATATTTCTTGCTTGAAGTCATGGCTGAACGACCACATTGCAAAGGTATAGCACATCAAAAAAAGCAGTAGGGTCTCGGGGCTGGACAGGGCAAGGATTGCGAGCGCATACATGTGTGGTGGCGACCTAAAGCAACTGGTGGACACTCTCAGCATTGACATGAAAACAAAGATCTATTGCCACTACCCACGGAGAAACGTCAACAAGGCGTGGTGGTTTTAAAGAAAAAGTGTGGAGGTGACAATGCGAGTACTCCAAGACAAATTGTACATGAAAACTCTACAGTTATGTTAGGACAGATAAAGCAGAACTGGGATGAAGAAGATCTCGGAGTAACAATCTGTACAAGCACAGTTGATCACTTGCAATATGTCCACAGTAACATTGTGAAATTGTTGGTGCAGAGGTTCTCAGACCTCAACTTAAACACAGCCGTGTGCTAAACGCCCAGCGGCTGCAGATCGATGGACTGTATATGTGCCTGTTCTACTCTAGACGAGAAAAACTACAATATCAAATTTTGTGCAAACTTCAGCAGGGCAGTTAAAGAGCAACCAACTGCCCACTAGACCATGACGACAAAAGGAGTGAACTTGAACATTATATAGCTTTCATGCCCTAATTACATTTATTTACCAGACTGCAGTGGACATAGTAGTTCATTTTACTGTTTTCAGCACTTTCCTCAGTGATGTCTTGGCCCATGTGAAACACAAGGAGCCAAACAAGGAAGCTTCATGTGTTCATATTCGACGGCCCATCTGCTTCTGCTCAGGTAGCGCATGCAGCTTTAGCTAAATTAGTGCACTTTATCAAGCACCTGCCAGCTTACAGTCCTATCTTCAACCCAATAGAAGAGTTTTAAAAATTCAAGTCACACGTTAATGTCCAATAGTAGTAGTACTACTGGCCTACCACAAAGTAAAAAAAAAAAATTGGACTACACTTGAGCTTCGTGATCAAGAACAGAACATGATATTGAAATCAGTTCCCGCGCACAACGCTTTCATTTGCTAGCCTGGCTTCGGTTCTCGGTGCACACCTCAACCGTGCTGTAAGGAAACGAATTACTGTAGCATGTAACATTAGCTCTTTAAAGCTATCCTAAAATGCCTACTCCAAGTACACTTGTTGAGAGCCCACTAGGCCATAATTCTTCACCTCGTGCCAGATTCATTTTGCATTTCATCTTTATGTGCACATGATAATTGTAGTCTTGTTCTTTTTTTTCAGCTACTTATTTCCCAGTGTAATAAACTTATACACTGTTGTTCGTCAGTGCCTGTGTTATGTGGTCATTCTTCCTTCGTCCCATCTTAATGCTGTTGCCCCCTCAGCATAATTCTTCCTTTTGCGAATCAGCGAAGGGCCCACTCCGTGTCCGTAAGGCAGCACACAAACTTAGATGTATGCTCTCTTTGTTGATGCCTTTGCAGCTTATGATGATTCCATATGTTTGAGTGCTTTGTAATGGTGGGCCTTTCAAACATCCACTCACTGCTATTCTAATGTTTTGTTGCCTGGCATGATTCTACACTTCTTACACAACCTTAGATGCGCTAAGGAGACTGCTTGCACTACATGACATTGATATAGTGTTTTTGCCTGAAGCAAGTTTCAAACAATAACATAGCTCCAAAGTAGGATGCCTGCTTTGCCATGCATATGGCCTAGGTTCAATTCTCACTCGAACGGAAGCTCTTTTATTTCCCTTCACTACCTGCCATTCACGCAGTCCCCACTTCCTTCTGAAACAGTTTCAAGCAGTAACAGGACTTCGCGAAAGCACAACTACTTGCCATGCAAATGGCCTGGGTTCAATTCTTATTTGAACTTTTGTTTTACAGTCAACTGCCGATTTTTCGGACATGCCCGATAGTTCGGACATCTTCGCGGCGCCGCTACGAGCCCCATAGAATCAATGTATAAGGAAGTCTGAAATTTTGGACGCTTGAACCCCCCAGAGTCCAATTTTCCGGACTTTTTGACGCGACGGAAGGTCGGAAATAACCACTGACCTCCAGTGGAAACCATCACAACTGCGGCACACGCGATTATGATTGCATAAATGAGCGCGCCGGTCTACTGTGGCGGCATCTGTTGCTTGGACTCGTTGATCGTTAGTGGAAAAACACACACGGCCTCCGCGATTCCTAACACTGACCTGTTTATCGTGCAAGGGTGCTTCGCTGACAATCGAAACTATCCACCCGGAAATTTTTTAGCGCCAATAAAGTTCCTTTCGCTTTAGCGCTTGTGCTCGTGCGTGCCACTCTGGCTTTCCGCGAAGCGTTTCATCAGTTCGAACTAGAACTAACGGTCACACACCGATTTGGTCTGGCCACGCTGGCTATCTTCAATGTTTACCAGCGCCACCTCCGGAGTACCCGAGGCACCGTCGCCTGCCGTCGCGCCGTTTTGTTTACGCAGCCCACATGGTGTTTGGCTAGCCTAGTGCATGGTTGTGCGATCGTGTGAAATGTGCTCTGCAACGCTAAGCATAGGTGCTTCGACGCTCGTCAGCAAACTCCTTTATTCACATCGTGAGGATTTCGCCTGCCTGCGATGGCCCCCACTCCGCCTTCGTCGTCCTCGCCGATGGCATCGAAGCGCGGAAAACAGTACCATCGGTTAACGATGGAGAAGAAAGCTGCCATTATTAAGTTAGTGAAGAGTGGCCGATTGCAGGCTGATGTGAGCAAGGAGTTCTGCATTTCCAAGCAAACAGTTTCCGGTTTCCTGAGGACCAAAGACAAGATTTTGGAAGCGGCCGAAAAACCGCCTGGTGCCCAAAAGATAGAGAAATAGAGAAATTCCGAGAAATATCAATGAAATGGTGCGTTTTTTGCTTGCATTAATAAATATTAGTAAAATGGTACGTTTTTCTTTGCTTGCATTGAAAATTATCAGTAAAATAATGCGTTTGTTTTTGCTTGAATTCATTTTTTCGGACTGCCTGAATTTTCGGACAGTTTTTCGCTCCCTAGAGGGTCCGAAAAATCGGCAGTTGACTGTATTATTAATTCAAGGACAACATGACAATTTTTCACTCACAACAAATCACACTGATGCCGGCACCAGAATTCATGCGAAACGAGTTTTTTAACGCTATTGCATTAAACAGAATAAAGACGTTGCTGCCTGACGAAGCTTGGCCCTCCATGCAACGGATACAGCGTGTGGACTGCGCAGCCTTTGACCGGCACAATTGTTTTTTTATGCCTGCAGCACTGCGTGAAGATGACTTTTGAATGCCGGTCTCAAAACCTAGGAAACATTACCATTCTAATAATTGTTATCCCTTCTGCTGATGATAATTTCCACAATAATTTAGAGTATACAAAAACATTTTCTTTAAATTAACCTGTAACACAATCATGCACTCTGTCATTAAGAGCCATAAATATACATATAAAATCGATCGATAAATCTTATGGTTGGGGCACCATCAGCAAGCTTCAAATGTGTGGCAAGATTGGTAAAGCAGTATGAAACAATGAATACAAATGAAAAAGAAAGCACAAGGATGACTTCTCGTCCTTGTGCCTTCCATTTCCATTGTAATCATTTTCTAATTCAATAATAATATGTGGGGTTTTATGAGCCAAAACCACGATAGGATTATGAGAGACGTAGTAGTGAGGGGCTCTGAAAATTTTGATCAACCGGGGTTTTTTTTTGGTGCACTGACATCGCACAGCACAAGGGCCTCAACCATTTTGCATCCATCAAGATGTGACCACTGTGGCCAGGTTCGCAACCGCGACTTTGGGGTCAGCAGCCAAGCATCCTAGCCACTGATCCACCAAGGCGAACATGTGATCATTTTCTGGTGCTGTATTAAATATGGCACTGTGCCAACTATTAATACTATTCAGATAATCGGACTTGTATCATTTTGTTTGAATGAGAACATAACAAACATGAATGTTATATATGACTCCTGGTATCGACGACACAATCTGTAATCAAAGTTTTATGTAGTTTACAAGAAGAAAAATGTCTTCCAATTATTTTTCCGATTCACTCTTCCCAGTGCGAGACTGCTTGTTTTTTATTTATGTATCACAACCTGACACACTGCTGTCATCAACTAAGTTTTCTACCTCTTAGTATCCATTCTTTCACTCTGAGCATGAACTGTGTCATTCACATTACACTATCTGTCCTGGAGCTGCACTATTATGCACCGAAACCAATATCCAAATACATATCAGCTACAGTGAGGAACACTGAATTTCATTGAACTACAAAATATTCTTTCACATGTTCGTAAAGAGCAACACACCCATGCCTTTCCTTTCGTTCCCATTAATATGCTGTCATCAGTGTCAAACACTGCTCTACAAGCTTTTGCTTAGCCAAATATAAGTGCTCCAAACATGGCTCAAGCAAACTATGGCAGAAAATTTTTTTCATAGTTAATAGCTATCACTACATATATTAGTGCTGCCTCCTCCTTTTATTTATTGTTATTATTTTCATATCATAGCAACTGTATTTCAGTTGTACTACCATTTTCATGCACAACTTCATATAACTGTTTCTTGTCTAAAGATTAAACTGCCTGCTTTTGAATTAAAGTTGTCGGAGATTGGATTCAACATGGTTGCACTTGAATTAAACTTGCTAGCACATGTCCTATTTGTGATGGCGATCGGATTAAGTATGTTCGAACTATAATTAAATGTCTGGCACATGGATTAAATAGCTTGGAGCTCAGATTATTGCTGTGATATGCAGATTATTTTAGCTCCCACTAAAAATAAAGAGAGCAGGAAAACATGTAGTATTTACAACTCACTATGGCTTTCTCAGTGTGCTTTGCGCCAGCCACACCTTTTAAGTTTCACCTCATAACTCATTGCTTTGTAATGGGCAAATTGATGATACTTTGAAATGAGCAGTTTTGTGTTCGGTTATTCATTTTGCAATACCCTCCAGGCTAAAGGCATTTAAGAGGAAGGCAGAATTGGCAATCTGTTGGTTAAGCAAACGGCTCTGACAATTATGTGCTCAGACTAATCTCGATGAGTGAGTGATGAACCTTCAAGTACTTGGCGACATGAGGTAGCCCAAATGCAAATACCTGAACTAGAACTAAAAGACGATAGAAAGGAGAAGACAGAAGCTTGCGATGAAAAATCCGTAAACAGGGGTTCGACAAACTCAACACAACCCCTGTTTATGGATTTTTCATTTGGACTAAAACTAGCAGCACATGCACTGAAAGAAGAAGAAGAAAAAAAAAACTGAACGATGAGACATGAGCCAACATAATTATTTAAAAAGGCCTATCCACTGTGCCATTCTTCCTGTGTCTCTGTTAAAGCACTAGTGGGCACAAAGGAAGGTGCAAAATTGTGCTCCAACAAAGAAAAGAATGCAAAGCTTACAAAGCTTGTAGTTCTTGTAACGAGAAACACCTTCCCAAGTTTCCTCTGTTGGAGTCCCCAGGATCTGGAATTCAGGAGGCCAAAATTATTCATTATCATGTTAGCCATGCTGTTACACCAATGACGAAAAAAGGAATGCTGTATCAGTCACTCACTTACTGAAGGAATATAATTTGAACACTCATCATCATCAGACCACTCTGAGCAAGAACTAAAAAATATATAATGAATACTGACCCAAAAGAATGCACCTAAGTCACAACGATGCCAAGAAAAAAAAATGGGGGAAAGTTCAAATCTTATACAAGAATGTTGTAATGCACAAGCTGTGAAGAGCATGAAACCACGCAAAACACAACGATGCCAAGTTATAAGATCGCTTAACCGAGCAAATGAGCTTTTATTATATGCAAAGCAGCTTATGGCGGAGTTCAATCCGGTGTGTAGCTGGACTGTAGAAGCGCAACAGCTGGCCCAAGCACTGCCAGAACGCGGTCACGAGCTAGCGCGTTCTGGCCTGTGTAAGGGGCTGAGTAAGGCAGTGTCGCTTCTCTCTCAGACTCTCTCCACAATTATGTGATGGTGTCAGGGAACGAAATTCTGCAGATGTGCGATGAACCAATGCATTGTATCCTAGTCAGAACTCGCTGACTAAGATACCCGTGGTGAACGGAACTTTAAGTCGACCCATGAGCTGCTTCACATGCTACTCACGGTTCACTTCAGTGGGAGATGGGATAATTCTTTTTTGCAAACCTAACACTGAAAATATTGGGAGATCACGATGTCTGACACAAACTCTATTCACCTATAACATTTCAATTTGCTAATGAAGTGCTTTTTTTACCACTGAAAATAATGGGGTATAAAAGTTTAATGTTTCATTTCAAAACACATCAATCGCAATGTAAGTACGCTATACACTGTTGTATGTACACTGTAAAAATACCTAAAATAATAATGCAATCCCCCGTGAAATAAAAAATTGAAAACAATGCCAGCACATACTTCTCATGCTTGATGTATTGCCAATCACTTATAGCATCAAAGCAATGCACAATTGGAGCAGAAAATTTGTCAACCTGATGAAAGATCCTGTATTTCCACAAATGCCAATTACAATTGACTTGCAATAATTCAAACTCTGATAATTCATATTTTTGGTTAATTCAAACAAAATTCTATTTTTTGGTTGACCCTCTATTCCTTTAATGTATTTAAAAGCTTCTTAATTAAATCTCCATCGTTCTGTTAATTTATACTTTTTGTGGTTCCATACCAGAAATTAACTGCTGCTATCTACTAATTTAAAATTTAGGTGCTTATATAATACAATACTAACAAGCTAAAAATGAAAAATAAGCACCTCAGGGCTCAAACGAAAAATGCTTTGCTAGAAAACAAATGTTTGAAACAAAGCAAACGCATGGTAAGCTATGATGCTTTTCAACTGGTATGAGAGCTTTGTGCTAAAGGCACATATAGCAAAGAAGCAGTTGTCAATTCACAATTTCTTTAAGAGGTCTGATCAGCAGTAAATGGCCAATAAAGTTGTACTATACACTTTTGCTTTCTGTTCATTCTGTGCAGCTAGATTTTAAAAACCCTTTCAAAAATTTGAAATGTGATCAAAATCAATTCCTAATCGTAATGGGTGGTCTCGCCTCACCCACAGGTGAATCTTAGAACTTCTGATAATTCAAACATCTTGATAATTCAAACAAAATTCAGAGACGCCTTTGAGTTTTTAGCTGTACCAAATTTTCCTTCACTAGATCAGTGAAGCACTTGGAACAGTGTACTGCAGCTTTGGCAATACTTCCTGTTGAAATTTTACTTTGTGAGATTCTCTAATATAATGAAAATTGCAAAGAAAAAAAAAGAAGTGCCTAAATGTAAATTTCGTCCATAATATCACATATTGAGCAACGTTACTCACAGAGGATTTCTGGCAGTAATCAATCACTATAGCGAAACCCTGTAGATCGAAAGGATTGATTTCCTTGGGCACGATAAGGAATGAAGAAATCTGAGTCACTTGAAACACTAAAATGGCAGCCAAATAATAGCTCGACACGGTCAGTGCTTCAAGTCCATTGTTGTAGAAAAGCAGTGAAGAGAGAGAAAAAAGGAAAGCTATGGTCAATGGAATAGCTAGGGGGTGGCACACTGGGCCTGTGACCCCTCCTGAATTTTTTTTTTCTTCCGTGGGATACAGAGCACCAAATGACACTCGACCTTGCTGACCTGCTCGGACCCCATGTCGAATCAAGAACGCGCCTCCACGAAAACAAATTTTAGCTTACTCCACTGGCTAAGGTTGTTTAGATTCAACTAAGATAATGTAATATGCTTTGTGCAGTATGTAGTATAGAATAAGCAGTACAATTAAATTATTTAAAAAATGGGATAACATCAAGATTGATTGATTTGTGGGGTTTAACGTCCCAAAACCACCATTTGATTATGAGAGACGCCGTAGTGGAGGGCTCCGGAAATTTTGACCACCTGGGGTTCTTTAACGTGCACCCAAATCTGAGTACACGGGCCTCCAACATTTCCGCCTCCATCGGAAATGGGATAACATCAAGACATTCAGAAATTTATAAACATGTGTGTACGAGCTGCAATTATGCATGTAACTATAATCTTACCCTCCAGATTTTATCCAGCTGATCGGTTGTGTCCTTGACACCAGGGAATGCAGCTGCGCCAGTTATCATCTCAACGAATATGCAGCCCACTCCCCTGCATAATGAAAACCAAATATTGTAGCGAGCCTTCAGCAAGAAAATTAAGAAATGATGTTCAGAATCACAAAACACAGCAAGAAAATATTTTTCCCCACCTCAAGACATGCAACATGAAAACAGGAGGTTTAATTTTAAAAAATTACTTGTGCGAACAATAGACTGCGCAGCCTGAAATCTGACGATCAATGTTAAAATTGCATCAGTGCACGACTGACAAATAGAGTACTAGCCTTGGTAGCAGGCCATGTAGCTATGCCTCAATGAAATTTTTTGTTGCAATAATGTGATCTCAAAAATCTTTTGAGTGCAATAGTTGCCCTGGATGTCTGAATTTATAAGATTGTATTTTTGGCATAGTGTTTTCTAAAAGGCAAAGCGAATGAATGCTGTTATGTCCAGTTGGCAGGGATACTTTTTATTTTATGTTTACTACAAATATAAAGAAGACTCAAAGCCTCAAAGTACTGATATTTTCTACCTATCACTGGTTAAAGAAAAATTATTACAGAATATTACTTCCAAAATAACTCTCATTTTATAAATCCATAAAGGCCACTAAATAAAATTTATAGCAGAAATTACCTGCCTGCATTATGTAAAATGTGGGAGTGTGCCATCATATCAAACTATATTATTGGCTTCTAAACATTCAATGGTTTATCGGCTGCCTTATGGTAACTGCTTCTATAAAGCATTGACGGTACAAATCAAAATAGAATTGCTTATGAAAACATGGACAATGCCACAGGGCAGATAGTTACTCCACCATTATTTGCATAGCTAACTCACAAAAAGAATAACACTTTTTAATAACTTTTACATTGGCTTCCAATATGAGCTTACACCATTTCATGTATTTATTTACAATAATACCTCCCTTTCTTGCTGCAGTATAGCTGGGAGGCAATAAATGAATATTGTTTTTCTGTCTTCAGACCAGGAAAATCATTAAAAAATTAATTTAGTAAAAACAGCATTTTTCAGAATCCACATCTATAAGTACACTTACTGTCCCTGAGATTAATATTTCAGCTGTAACATCAATATTAAAGGGGGACATGGGTCTTGAAACAATTTCACTTACTTTTTAAGCAAACTTAACGAAACTTGCCAGTCTTGTTGCTTTTTTTCTGCTGATTTGAAATATGCAATTATTTTTTCCATCAGCCAATTAGTTCTCAAGATAATTAGAGGTAATCCGCCATGTTTTTCCGTAACAATAGAAAAAAAAGTATTCATCAAAAAACTATAATCTGCATATGTCAGATACTAGAAACACTGGTGATTGCAACATAGCAAGCAGTTTTTTGATTAATTGCTTGTAAGAGATTTTACAGCTAACTGAACTTGAGCACTTGAAATAGTGCCACCAGTCACCCAGAAATAAAGCAAATTTAAAGTTTGCTCGAAAGAAATTTCAAAAATCTGTTTGCTACATTTCAAACACCACCCCATTGGCTTTGTCCTAAAAAAAGAATTATAGCTCTATCTACCCGCAGTGCTGAGATATTGCTTCGGCAAGCTTGCAAGAAGTCAGAAATTCAGCTTTTGAGAAAATGAGCAAAAACACAAAACGTCAAATTTAATGAGAAACACCAGGAAATATTTACATGCTTACACTAGCAAGGGCCTAGTATCCACCAGGAACATAGTCCTTTTGACCTTTGTCAACTCTGTGGCGCTTTCCCAGGGCCTGCTTCACATTTTCAGCCGACACATGCTTTCGAGCAGATGCGGTCATCCTCCGCTTGTCCTTCTCTGCCAGGCGTTTCGAGTTTTGCCGGCCAGGGGTCAGGCTGAGCTTTTTGAGGATGCCTGTTGCAGCTCTTGTATAGCCAGCATTGAACTTCATGACGGCCTCACCGACAGCAGCCTCAACAGTAAACAGTGAAGCGTGCCGCTCCTTTGGTGCAAGCGCCCAGATCATGGCGTGCAATTGTTATTCTGCGTCTTGCCACGCTGGCACCGCTCCAGCAGCTTCCTATCCGATAAGCGCTCGTAGACAGGCAGCAACGCTTCACACACATGGGCGGGCAAGCTGTAGCGGTGCTTTGGCGGCGGCTGTCCTTTGGCCTCGGCTGCATTTTGCTGGCACCACGAGTCAGGGCCTGTTGGACAAAGGCTGTGGTTGGGTGCATCATCACGTGAAGTGACATGTAAGTTGCCATAACAGCCCTGTGCGTTGCATCTACATCCCCCTTGTGGGACTTCAAGGCCCACCCATAATATGATGTCAACTTGTTGACCAAATCTCCAGTGAGTCTGCCCTTGCCCCCAAGGCCATGCCCCTTGTGCTGGGAAAGCAGCTTTCGCAGGTTTGTCCCCATGCGCTTCTGGACGTGGTTGACGCAGTCCTCCTTCAGGATGTCCATGTAGCCGTACACCTTTTCTTCCTGCAAAGCGAGGTAGGCCCGACTGTCTCCGTCTGACAACACGGTTGTGTAGCGGAGGTTGTGTTTGGAGAGAGACCTTCGGAAAAGAATAAGTGCGGCCTCAACTTCCGTTTCACCAGCTTTCTTGCTGGTGTTTTTTTGACATTGTTGGTTTTCCACCCACGTTTGGTACGAAGGGTCGTTCTCCTTAGGCTTCTGCTCACAGGCTGCACAGAAATTGCTCAAGACAACATAGTCCAATACAAACCCTGTAAAAAGCTCAATCACCGTTCCGACGCCGATGTGGGAAGAATGTCCGCGAGTCATCCAAGACCCATCGTAGGAAACGGCGATGTTGCCAGGTATAATTGTACCGAGCTCGCGATAGAGCTCTCGAACGGAACTCGCGCACTCGGTCATCAACTCCTCGGAAGCAGAGGCCACTGCAGGCGTCAGTTTTTTTTTCACATAGTTTTGCCACGTCTTCGTGTGCAGACCCCGGTGCGATATATTCATGGCAGAACAAATGTCGTTGAGCGCCGTTTGACGTTTGCCGACGCTTTGCAATGCACGCGCTGCGAGGATGTTGACGCTGAATGGGTTTATGTTTTGGTCCCCGGCCACACGCGGCGAACTCCACGCTGACGAAATGTCATCACAGTTGACGCACGTAATCAAAAGCTTCACAGCCAGACCGTACTCCCGATCGCATTTGCTGATATTCACATCACCGCCGCAAGTTTTACACTTCACGCACCTCAACAAGTCATTCACACAGTCTAAGCTGATGACGACGAAGCTCACGTTGTCAGCCGAGTCGGCCGCGGCACCGTCACCGGCAGCAGCCAGGCGATCTTGTTTTCGCGTCGTTGCTGAAATTGACGCCAGCTCTTGTAGCTTGGCTTCGGCATTTCTCGCATTTTCGTGCAACTCTGCTGGCTGCAGGATTTTTGTATCAATGCGAACGCGGCCACTTCCACTCGCACTTTCCCACGCTGGTGGAGCCGTTAGGCCTACACCAGCCGGCTCGGCGGCGGCGATGCTTGGCGCTGATGACCGGCCGTCCTCGACGCTCGCTGCTGGTGCTGCCCGACGCTTCGTGGTGTTAGCGATGAGGCTTTTTTTTCTTTTTTTTCCGAATCTGTGCACTGAGTGGAACTTTCCCGCTTGAGACGCCGACCCACACTGCTCCATCGTCGATCGCAGAATTCAGGAATGGCGCCGACGGGGGCCAGCAAAGCGCGCACAACGCAGCTAGAGCAGACGCCACAAGCCGACTTCAGCCAATCATGCTCTGAGAAACGGTCACGTGCACTAAACAACCAATCGTAGCATGCGTTTTTACTCTTTTTTGATGGTTGTTTTCTCCGCAACCAATGAATGCACAGAAGCCACAGTGGCGGGAATTTGAAGGCGAAAAACTGCTCTTTCAAACGATACCAAAATGGCCGCGAGTGCAGCTGTGGACATGGAGTTACGAATTTATAAAAAACTGGTTTTTGGTGTCCGGAGCTGCGCAAATTCCGCACGCCCACGGGCTAGGAATTTAATATTACAGCTAAAATATTGATCGGAGAGATATGAAAGTAAGTACACCTGTAAAAAAATACCTGTAGTTTCTGAAAATGCTGTTTACAAAAAATTGCTTTTTTGGCGATTTTTCGGCTCCAAAGACCCGTGTTCCCCCTTAAAACATGTAGTTGACATTATTTTTTTGGCCTGTGTTGACACTAAAACATATTCAATGATGCCATGATTTCATTTCCCTGCCTTGAGGGTCTACTGGTTGTAGCCAGCATATTTTTTGTCAGTGTACATGTGTCTACACATTTGTGCCCTTCCAAAATGAAATGCCACATTTGTTTTTGTTTCCTTGGTTTTCTCAAAATACAAATTTCGCACATCAAGTAAGACATTCACTACCATTTATCAGTATCTATCACAGATAGAACAAAACTTATTTTTGCAGCATGACGGTATAGATCACGGAACATACAAGAAATTTTTTTTAATTAATGTGGCTTTAAGTTGTCTTAAATTTGCCTTTTGTGCGACCACAACATGGCTGTGTTTAAAATAATAAAGTTCAATGTACACTAAGTAAGAAATAGTGATACAATCGTAAAAGCACTTCTTCTGTTGTTAATGTTATGCCTTCTCTTATTGATACATATATCATTTACATATTTCTGCGAGGTAGTTATTAGTCAATTGTTTTAAGAACTAAAGGTATTTGTCTCCCTGGTTATAGTATATTAAAATAATGAACCTACTAAAACATTTCTCCATCTTTAGAATAGAGAGAAGAAACTAAACAAGCATGCCAAGTTTGGTTCAAAAACAACTAAGGACAGCTTTAAAGCCCATGTCCCTCCTTTTTAGAGATGAGTTCTAAAGGGAGAGTGTACTAATATACACGTACAAGTTACAAGCCTCTAAAGCATAACAAAAAGCTGTAAGTGCTGTAGCTGAGCCAAACTCCACACTTTGTGAGGGGTTCTGTGAGGCTATTGAAACATCCACAGTGAAGAGAGTTGCACGATACTCGCACAAGCTGGTTGCAACTATTGCTAAGTACTAGTTCTGGTAATTTGAAGATAGACCTTGGTCTAACACAGCAAACATTACAGCGATGAAAGAGAGAAGCAATAAAGACAACTTTAATTTGGAACGAGTTTTGATTTAAGTAACCAGCAGCACAACAGCATTTGCAATGGCTTTACAAATGGCTTATACAAGAGTAGATACACACCACATGTCCAGTGAAGTTGAGTAGTCTGTTGATCCAAGCAACACATCAGGTGGCCGGTACCACAAAGTGACCACTTCATGTGAGTAAGTACGACTAGGCACAGACTTGGCTCTGGCAAGACCTGCATTAAAATGTGCATTCTTCATCACCAAGTTTGAAAGAGCTTGGGAACCGAGGGAACCACATACAGGTGTTACGTGGACCACTATCACTCACGAGCAGGTTCGGTCAAGATCGAATTTCATGAAGAATGGCTGAGAGCCTGCTGCAGTTAGGGAAAAGTTATTCCAATCGGGCTTGATTGCAAATGGATGTGCTCAAGTGACATCCATATAAGGGTATCCAGTATTTTACAATTTACATTTTTCACCAAAGATCACAATGAGCGAATCTAAATTTCAGTCTTATTTTTAGACAACCTGTAGCAAAGTCCAAAGCTGTAAAATTAACATCGTTTACTTACTCTTGTAAGCTAAGTAGTGAATCATTGCCACCTACCAAAATCTGCAAGTTTCAGCTCCCCCTGTTCACTGATGAGAAGGTTCTGAGGTTTCAGATCTCTGAAAATAAGAAAAAAAAGAAAGAGCCCTATAAGCAAAGGTATTACCTTTCCATAGACTATGTTTTCCCTACAGGATAGCAGTAAAAATGTTTTTATCTGAATGACCTGCAAATGACATTGTAAACAGGTGGTTTGGGTTGGCCAAACAGGGGGCATATTGAATTCATGGGTAAAAGCAAGATATTTTGATAGAATAATATCATGTAGGCAATGTTACAAATATGCATTCTTTGAAACTAAATAATTCTAGAAATGAGCATGTTTTTCTTTTGAAACACTTACTACTATAACAATGTGTGCCATGAGCAACAGACAAATGGAAAAAGTGTACTAAAGGTGACAAAATCGGAAAAAAAGACAACCAACAGAACAGCAGCAATTTATTAAAAAAAAAGATTTTTCAAAATTTGTTAAGTTTTATGCACAAAAATCCCAATATGATTACGAGGCACACCGTAGTCGAGGGCTCCAGAAATATTGACAATCTAGTGCTCTCGAATGTGTACAAAGATCACACAGTACATGGTCTTCTAACGATTCGCCTCCATCAAAATTGAATCACCACAGCCAGGACCAAACCCGCACACATTGAATAAAGTTCAAATGAAATGCCAAATTACTGGGTGCTTTAAACACCTACTTTCAGGAGCATCAACAGAAATGCTTATGACAATTATGTCTACAATATCATGGGCTATACTTGTCCAGTAGTGCCTCTTTCAGCTTATACTATCACCAGATGACTCTTGTAAAAGGTTTCCATTATCACTGTGCAATGCAAGCTTAAAAATGCAGTCAAAGTGATTTTTACAACTTTTTTGCCCCGTTGCCCAATATGATCAGAACAATGAGTGTACCAAGTAAGTGAAGCTCCACTACGCAGATAGAACGATACATGTAATCCCAATATTCTAGCCAGGCTTGCCTGTACTTTTTGGTGTAAGTGACAAATCAACAAATTTGTATATGCATGTTGCAGTAGCATGCATCTTATGAAGGGTGAAGCACCTCTACAAAAAACACTGCACAAGGAAAACAATTTTATACATAAAATAGCAATAAAATCAATGTCGCACAACTTTCTCAGCTATAATGAGTCATAACGACACATGTCACATGTGCCCATGACAATATTGCTTACTGGTCGAGTTATTTCGTCGTACTTGGGGTGGAAGGTACTAGTGAATCAACATGATCTCTGACAACACAGCACCTGTCCTATCCTGTTCTTTAGGATTTTTCAGTTTCATTTGCTAGTGTCAATTGGTGCTACTTATTTGCTAGTACACATGTACACAAGTTGTTTCACATTGAGACAAGCCTTATGGCAAACCACTGCTAGGTGATTCCACATAAAATCGAACAAAGCATGGCTGGTCGACCTATTAAATTTTGAAATTTCATATCTTGCTCTTTGATAAGTGGAAAGAAGAGATCTGCAATTGGTCTTGCTGTAGAAAATCTTTTCGAAGCACAGTAAATCAATGATGATGAAGAGGTGGAGTACCAAGCTTACGTGCTCTACTGTTTTTTTAATTTGGTGATGAATTACATATAATATATTTAAGCTATGTATCTCAAATTTGTTTAGTTAAATATAGGCATACTTGCACTTATGTTCAATTACATTTCAATTCTCTGAATAGTTTAGATTTTTTAATAAAAATTCTCAAATTTGACCTAAAACATTTTTTTGCCTAGTTTGTAGGCCTTTATTTCAAAAAAAAAAAAGATCCAAGACTGAGCAGCAAAATTTCTGCATTACTTTCCCAGCATGCTAATTTATAAAACTGTCAAAGCTTATATTAATAACACTTTTCAATAAAAAAGATATAATTGTACTAACTTTAAGAAAAGAGCGTGCAAGAAAAACTTCTGATGATGATTAAAAAAACATTTTTGTTATTTTTCTACTTTCCCCATTTATTCTCCTGCACATCAACTTTCACAATCAATAAAAAACGTGTTGCGTAATATGGTTTCACTAGCAGTTACGGCCCGTCGAAAAATGCCCTTGAGCTAGGATAGGCAATCTTTGATCAGACTTCCTGCCCACTTATAGAATGCAGGCCTATACTTCAGTTTTTTAAAAGGCAAGCAGCACTGAAATAGCTGTAGACTGCACTGAGGATGCCAATTTTAAAATGATTTGGTCATAGGAGTGGCCATGAGTGTGGGATTACCAAGCAAGAAAGCGCGCACTGTCCATGCTCCGGTGTGAAGAGGGCCTGTCGAATAAGATCTTTGCACAAGACTGAGCACAACATGTGGGTCTGAAGATTGTATGAAATTTGTGATCGCATAAGGCTTTTCAATTTGGCATGATATTGTATTGAGTAATTATGTCTTGCTACTGCAAATTAGCAGTGATAAACATGGTAGTAAATGATTAGAAAAGTGCTGTACACATTGAGGCACTGTGGCATGAGCTGTTCATTGAGGCACTGTGGCATCAAGCTGTGATGTATAAGTAGGTAACTCTGCGAAAATTTGTGTCTTTGAAATGAGATTTTTGTGCTTAGAGTGGTAGTCTGCACAATAATTTTGCTAGGAGCTATACTTTGGTGCCATGAAACACACAGCAGCAGAGCAAAGCACGAGCGCTATCGTACTCAAATGAAGTGTGAGCAGCGAACTATGGGCACGGCCAAAAGAAGTCATCCACTGCCGCCATATGAGATGGGCGGGTGCACCCGGTTGTCTATAGTTTGGCATTTGTTCCCTTTTGATTTGGCTCCAACTGGAGCCCCCACATTTATTGTTTTCACTCAGATCAATTTGCGCAGTGCTGTTTCGCCAGCTAAAGTGGCTGTCATTCGTGTGCAGCAAGCGAGCGTTTGCAGCTTCCTGATAAGAGTTTTCAGGTGCTCCCGACCGAGGGAACGCAGCCAAACTTCAACTTCCATGTCGATGCCTCGAAATGTTTCTTGTGTGGGCACTGAATGCGGTCGAGCAACTTGAGCTACAGACAGCGAATCTGTGACTTTGGCCGACTGCCTCTGCTTATGCACCAAGTACGTGCGTTGAAATCCTGCCGTGCCAAAGTTAGATTAGTCACCTCAAGATGCTTTTGTTTAAATAATATACAAGTACGTATTGTAGACAGCCTTTTGTTCGTGTTTACTTGGGACAAACAAAAAGTGCAAGCAATGTCTGCTACGTTTGCAATTTTAATAGCGTGTGGCTGCTATGCGAGCAAAGGACGGATAAAATAGCTATGCTCCAATGACCATGCGTGAAAGTTACCTCCGCCGTATCGCAACCTATCCGTCTGAAGACACGAAAAGGAGCCCTCTTTGCCCCAGAACACGCCAGAGTCTGCGTGCTTGCTTGCTCGTTAATCCTGCACTCATGGCCGCTCCTGTTACCAAACTATTTCCAAATTGGTGCCTTTAGTGCAGTTGACAGCTATTTCAGTGCTGCTTGCCTTTTAAGGAGCTGAAGTATAGGCTTGAATTCCATACTTAGCAGAAGTTCGATCTACCATTGCCTATCCTTGCGCAAGGGCACTTTTCGATGGGCTGTAACTGCAAATTGATTGATTGATATGCGGGGTTTAACGTCCCAAAACATGATTATGAGAGACGCCGTAGTGGAGGGCTCCACAAATTTCGAACTCCACAGACAATCTAAGAATTACGCCCTGGAATTAGTCATGTTGGAGCGAGCGTGCATCTTCCGCGGTGGCGACACCGCCGACAAAAAGCGAAGCAGTGGCGGCATGCCCAACGCGCTCGTTGCCCCGCCGATTCCCTGGCTAGGGTGCGAGGTGGGTCTGCGTCCCACGAGCTGGTGTTGTCGCCGCGAGCGAATGTGTGAATGTGCCCTTCCCCTTCCTCCAAAACAAAAACAAACAAACAAACAAAAAAGAGTGTTTGCAATGCTATGGTTTCAGCTAGCGCGATGTCTGTGGGGCCACGATGCATACGGTGGATGCTTTATCGAATAGTTTTCTGCAATATCCGTGTCGTTTGCTCTTCGTTTTCGACACCGTGCGCGCGTGCATGGTTTCACTGCGCATGCACGGTGTGGCCCTTGACGACGTTCAGCTTTGCTTCTTTCTTTTTTCTTTTTTTTTATGCGGACACTCGCGTCATTAATACCGAGGGAATGGCACATTAAGCGCTGATGGAAACTCTCCGAGATCACAGTGACGACGAATCTTCGGGGGTCATGCTTCTATCTTGCGCCGCGCCGCGAGTTCGCAGGACCGTAGCCTTCGCGATTAGCTCTGGCAACAACACGACAGTGCATTGAATGCTATGCAATGAGCATGATAGCAACAAATTGTAATGTTATACAAAGTAAGGCTGGCAGCCAGCTCTTGGATCCGATATCGCGGAACTCCTACAAAACGGTGTAAGTAAATATGGCTGTTCCAGGGAGAAGTGCTCTTTTCACACAGTTTCTCGTTGAAAGCACACTGATGCTTGCAGAGATGGCACGTGCGCCAGTGATTGCGACCTTAAAATTGAAGTTCACCGTTGCTACTTGAGTGACCCCCCCCCCCCCCCCCATTATTTCATGCTCGTTTAAGATGGGTAGTTTCTTTTCTGTTTGAGCATTCGACAGCAGTTCTAACATCATGCGGGAGGGATGTTATCGTACGTGCCTTCCAGGTGATAGAGAAAGGCCGGCTCATTTGATCTCTGCTTCAACAGCCCACGCGCGCTTTTACCGGCTCCTAAGGTTACGATGAGCAGGGGGCATGTTATCAATTTGGAGATCTGCTCTCTTAGCTCTGTCAATTTGGACTTGTTACGGAACATGGGAGTGACGGTAAAAACCGGCTGAGTGTGTCCATACAATTTCTATCGCAATAATAACGCATTTGTTACGAGAAAATGAGTGTTTTGGGTTAGCTCTGCCTTCAGTTCCCCTTTTGTTTAATTTGTGCATTTATTTTTCAATTTTTGTACCGAACCTACACATAACGAAATTTTCTTCATAACGAATTTTCCCGGGAATTTTTCGATTTTGTTATATCCAGGCTTAACTGTATATCTTTTTATTGAAAAGTGTTATTAATATAAGCTTTGGCAGTTTTATAAATAAGCATGCTCAGAAAGTGATGCGGAATTTTCAGTGGTCTGTCATAGACCCTTTTTGAAATAAAGGCCTGTAAACTCTGCAGAAAAAAAGTTTATTTTGGTAAAATTTGAGAATTTTTATTAAAAAATCTACACTACAAAGAGAATCGCGATATAATCGATCGTAAGCGCAAGTACGTCTACATTCAGCTAAACAAATGTGAAGTATGTAGCTTTAACATATGTTGTGTAATTCATCGTCAAATTAAAAACAAAAACGAAACAAAAAAAAACCACAGCAGGTAAGCATGGCACTCCACTTCTTCGTCATTATTCATTTACTGTGCTTCGAAAAAATTTTTTACAGCAAACCAATTGCGGATCTTTTTTCTCTACTGATAAAGCAACAATATATAAAATTTTGAAAGAAATTTAAGAGGTCAACCAGCCATGCTTTGTTCAATTTTACGTGGAATGACCCTGTTTTGATTTACCCCACAAAAAAAAAGGCTATGACTAAATCTAAACAAGTAGAAAGGTCTTGGTACCTGTGAAGAATGACTCGTTCATGACAGTATGACAAACCACGTAAAAGCTGGAATAGAAAAAGCTGAAAGAAATTGTAATGAGCCATGAGAAACAGCTAGGAGCACACGCACGATGATACACTTTTGTTAAGGTTCTTAACAGCTTTCAGGAACAATGAAAATAAAATAACATTCAGGCATGTTACAGTTTTTAGTAAGTGGAATTTTAGCAGAAGTGGAAACTCCTGCTAATTGTGTAGTACTCAGATGCTATTCTGAAAAGCTGTTTAGCTTTGTGGGCAAACTGCACCATCACATAGTGTTTTCAAGCTGTGAGGCCTGCAACAAGTCGACAGCGAATCTGAATCATGCAGGGGAGAAATGTTGATGTCTCTACTTCAATTACTTCACCCCTACTCTCTTACATGCATGCATGCGTGTGTTGACACAAGTATTTATTTACTACCTTCAATAAACTCTTCAATTATTCTTTCAATTAACTCATAGATATCAATAGAAACATTGTAGTGAAAGTTAAAAATATGACCTAAAAAATCAGCAACCTAGACCTGTGGTCATGTGGTTTGGCTCCTATAGGTAACAAGTTGTTATTTATCCCCATTCATTTCCTTTTGCCTTATTTTCTACAACTATAGAAAGATATTACCCTTGTGCTATCTTTGGCTTCATTATACGTTTACTTCATATGGTCAACACTAAGAAAAATGAGACATTGTTTTCACCTGTAAGTTCAAGAGTTTGCAAGGCATATGCCCTTCAAACTACTGTAAGATACCGAGCAAATGCCACTTTCCCCTATTCGGAAGATTTAATATAAGCTCCAAGAAAGCGTGCCCCCTTCGTCTTCCCACCCCATCATATTTTTTTCAACCTGTTTTATGCTACAGAATCCTGCACCAATGATTCCCTTAAGAACCCAAGTTCTGAGAGTCTTTGAGTATCAGAACAATTTTTTAGTACATTTACAATGTGACACCTTGGGGATGAATTTCGAGTTGTTAGAAATTGTCGGAAATCGCCGCATCATTTGTTGCTTTGTGTTTGCGGTGAGAGGTCAGCTATGCCTGTGCAGTCCTACACAACGGCGAAGAAAATCGAGGTTATTCGATGGCATCGAGAAAACGGAAAGAACGTGCACCAGACGCCTCAACACTTCAAGCTCGTCCGAGTGGGGATACAGGAATGGAAGAAGAATTTCGGTACTTTGCTGCAACTAAAGTACGAGACAGCAAAACTTCGATTGAAGCTCAGTAACACCACACGAGTGTTCCGCGAACACGTCGACGATGCGCTCTTCAAGTACCCTGAGCGGGAAAGTGCAGGACGTGCCATTAGCAACCGAATTTTTTCCGAAGAGGCTGTCAAAATTGCCAACAGCATGCAGTTGGGAAACTTCGTAGCCTCCAGCCATTACATAAATTGCTGGAAATCGAGGTTATGCATTGCAATGCGCTGCGCTACGATTGAGAGCCAGAAGACACTCTAGGAACTTTCGGAGGCAGAAAGTGCATTTCGATCTTGCGTGAACTTGCTACGACGGCACAACAACTACATCTTATATAACATGGCTGACATGGATCAGACGATGGTGCGAATAGACAATCCCACCAACAGGAAGAATAGTGTGGTCGGCGAAAGCACCATACGGATTGCGAACACTTGGTGTGCACGGTGAGGCTTTACGCTTTGCCTAGCTGCTTGCGCCACCAGCCACAAGCACCTGGCCTTCATTATCTTCAAGGAGCAAAGCGGAAAAATTCCAGCCAGGGCCTTTGCCAGCCTTTGCTTACTACGTGAAAATAATTTTAATTCTTTGATAGGGACGAGAGGTCACATTGTCACCGAGTCCCTCATCCCCAAGTTTGTTTTATTGCAATGCTGACTTTTTATTGTGACAGCGGTTATATGGACATTTTATTTAATACATATGCTCACTGTATATGTATACGTGTCAGTATATATGTAAACACAAGAAAGAAAAATAATTAAAAAAAAGACTCCAGTGCGCTGAATCAAACTTGGGACCTCTGAATCGTGAGTGCAAGGCGTTAACCACTGAGCCGCGAAGGAGCACCTCCTTCAATGTTCAAATGGCAAGCTATCTATATCTACCACTTACCACTGTTCTCGAGCATATTGGGGGGAACTATCATGTTTTCAGCATTACCAGCAAGATGGAGCAATGAGCGCGTGTCACCACAGTGTCACAACGGGGCACACACTCTCATCTCTCAAGCGTACTTTGCGTCGCAGAGAGGAGGGGGGCGACACTCACTTGCGCGCCCTTATCTCGCGATGGGGAGGATCGTACGTCTTGGCTGGTCTTGGGCTTTCATTGAAACGATTCTGTTGTAGTTACTGGGCGCACAAAGGTCATTGCAATCGTTGCACAGTTTTCGTTTGCGAAAAAGGCGCGCTTTTCAGACACAGCAAAGTAACAACTGAGACGCTTACTCGTGTTCATCTGTACCTGTGAGTACATTTCGTACGTCATTTGTACGTGAGAAATACGAGGTACATTTTGATCTGCTTGCCATTCTGCACATGACCTTCCAATTTGTTGCTATTGCGTTCGTTGCTTCATCTTAGTGGCAAAGCTGTGACTTTTTTTCCCCATTTGTAGCAAATATTCATCTCACCGTCACGAAAAATGGCTGGATGACATCAAGAAAATGCAAAAATGGCTGTCGAGAGTCTGGCGCCCAAACGTCGACGATGTACGACTCTTGCTAGTGTTGGACCAGGCGCTCATGCACAAGACACAAGCTGCCACAAATGTCTTCTATGAGTACGACACCGGCATGCTTTACGTGCCTGCGGAGGGCACGAGCATCCTGCAGCCTGCCGACGTGTATTGGAATAAGCCGTTCAAGTCCACCTTGCAGCGTTTGTGGGAGCAGTATATGCATGAGGAAGCACGAACACTGAAAGGAAACTCGAAGAAGTCATTGCGGCAACATGTTGCTCGATTTAGTTGCCAAGGCATGGGCTGCTGTATAAGAGGAGACAGTGGCACGGTCCTTCAAAGGATGCAACGTCAGTAATGCGCTCGATGGCTCGGGAGACAGCGACCTGCACAGTGGACTGGTTGATGTTGGAGCTGTAATGCCAGAATACCGCAGCGGACTTCAAGCGGAATGCTGCGATCGGTTTTTTTGCAACTGACATCGAAAGAGTCTTTTGACGGATTTGAAAGCATTAAAAGCTACAACAAATCCTGGGTCTAAATAAATTTCCGTGTAATAAAAGTTTAATCCATGTGGAGTTTTCTTTTTGGCGCGAAAATTTTGCTGCCACCTTCAATTTTGGTGCCGTTCCAAGATAGCGCCTCCCTTCTTGCGGCAATTTCGACGTCATTAGAGGGGGAGGGCGCTTGCTTGGAATTTTATGGTAGGTTGTATTGAGACAGCTCGGAGACAATAAACTTGGAGATAACTTGGAGATAGCTCGGAGACAAAAATGTAATAAAAGATGGGTTTATGAAAATATAGTTGGTTTAACCACATTTTCTTTTTATAAAACCATCTCAGAAGCATGACTATGGCAAAATACAGTCAAATTTATTAGAAAATTAAGGGCCATCTGTTATAATATAGGCCAACAAATAAACGAGTACCACCTTGACATTCTTGGGGTTGAGGCCACCGGGGTGCTTCTCAAGGTACTGGCTAAGGTCTGTGTGCTAAAGGGAAAAAAAAAAAAAAAAAAAAGCTTAGGTTAGCTATGCTGAAAAAACAAAAAACAAATAATCAGTAAAGCTGTCACACTTACCACATATTCAAATACAAATGTCAGTGTGTCTTTAGTGTGGATGATGTCATGAAGGGTCACTATATTTGCATGCTTGAGACCCCGCAGCAATGATGCTGTAAAAAATTCAATTATCATAAGAAAAGAAGTAAATACACAATTCAACTTTCATAGTCCCACTGATCATTGATCGGGCATGGGGAAGCGCCAGGAATGGACAAGGTGCTGGTAAAAACAAAGAGAGGCTCACCTTCTCTGATTGCTGTGAATGGTGTGCCTTCTTCAGGCTGCAGCCGGATTTCCTTGAGAGCAACTACTTTGCTCATGAGACTGAAAGCAAAAACAAATTTTCAACATCCATGGAAGAATAATGGCAATGATAACTGCCTTTAAACTATATTTAACTAGGACAAGATCAAATCACCACTGTGGCAAAATAATAAGAAAGGTTTATAGTGTGTACAATACCCCGGTATATGCAAAGGTAATAAAAAATACCGGATTATCAGATGATAGTGTCACCATCTTTTGTCGCATCGTGCAACCACAGTCAGGTACACATTTCTTATGATGTAGTGTTTATGAGGGAAATTTGAAAATATTTAGCTGCAAGGCATTTACACAAGTAAAATGCACGATGTTTCCACAATAACAATTTTGTGCTTGCCTACTTCCCCTTGACCCCATGAGAAAGCGCTACATATCAAGCCTGTCAGGGGGGCTTAGGCCTTTCACATTAACGGCATTGGCATCCTAGGTCACTCTAGCTTCAGTAAGCCGGCTGAAATAAGGCGATAACAATTCACACTCAAGCTTTTTTTTCAACTTAGCCGCTGGTGTCTACGCAAAACAGATATTGTGCATAGCCACAAATGAAGGTGGGTTTGCAATAACCATATAGTCTATCTGGCTAGTAATTTATGTTCCGCAAAAAAGTTCATCTGCAGTCGAAACCCGCAATAACGAAATCGCCGGGAAACAAAAAAATTTCATTTTCGCGAGAATTTTGTTGCCGCAAGTATGAGAAATGAAAACAGTGATACGGCCAGCAGAACGAAAATTTATTGCCAGAAGTCGGTCAACTTACAGGCGATCCTTGCCATGCAACAACTTCAAAGCTCTCCCTTCGCACTGGAAAAGGTGGTCCATTGCTACGTCGTCGTCATCTGCGCCGAAGAAGGAGCGAAGGGTGTCCAGCGCATCCATAACAACCCACGGGTAGGGTTTCTCCGCGTGCGTCTCTTCTTGGTTAGAAGCACTGCACTGATGGATAGAGGCACTGCACTGCCACCACTCTCGCCGTCAAGTGCGCCTTCGTCCAAATCTTCGTCTGGTGAGGCCGAAGCGCAATCCGTGCGTGATGCTTGCACGGTGGTGGTGAAGCCCGCGTGCTTCAAGCAGTTCTCAATCAGCAACGGGGATGTTGCAACCCATGCGGCAGCCACCATCTCGAAAGCCATGCACAAGTTGACGTCGTTGGGACGCTTGTGTTGGGACGCGGAGGTTGAGTAGCAGACGCTGGATCAAACTCTCCCTGAATGTGCACTTGACGCTCCGAAGTACGCCTTGGTCGAGCGGCTGCAGAACGGAAGCGCAGTTCGGTGGGGAAAAAGCCGAGCGCACGTTTGTGAGCTCCGTCTCGTCAATGTGGTGGGCGCTACAATTGTATAAAAAAAGGGGCACCGACCTGCCTGCCTTGTGCATGTCGGCGTTGAATGCCTTGACCCAGCTGGAAAAAAGAGCTCGAGACATCCATGCCTTCTTGTTTGTGGTGTACTGAACGGGCAGCAAGCGGCGGTTTCCTTAGAAACAGCGGGGCTTCTCGCTCGGGCCGATGACTAGGAGTGGTCGCTTGTCTGTGCCGTCCATATTACAGCACAACAAAATAGTAACGCGTTGCTTGCTGTGCTTGCCCCCGTGACACTTCTGGCCTTTCAAGTCCAGGGTCTTTGACAGGAGCATCTGAAAGAACAGCTCCGTCTCATCCGCGCTGTATACGTCGCAGGGCTCGTACTGGTCCAGTACTTCTTTGTTCTAAGATGTTTTACAGTACGTGTGTAAGGCTACAGAAGTGACGAAATGACGGAAGCAATGCAGGATGGGATTGTGTCGCCACCTAACGGTGTCGCTGCAAGGCTGCTTAACGTGATGATGATATTGTTGCTGTTCTTTTCTTTTTCCGCGATCAACGGAGAATGCACTTCCGGCGTCAAGCTTTTCTCAGGCGCCATTGTAACTTCATCTCGATTTCGCAGAGGTCGTTTTGATTGATTCCAACTGTTGGTGTTGCTTCGGCCTGTTGAGCTCGTCCAACGGCGCCATCTGCACTCCAGCATGATCATTTGCCATCGCCTGCTGCAGTGTGGCTAAGCATGTTGCCGGACAAAGACCCCATCATCGCTTTAAGTAAACAAAAATGGCGGTACCCACGCTAGCGCAGCAAAAGCAGACGTTTACCAATTTTGAGTGCGCATAACACACATACGAGCATATTTTCGGCAGTTACCATCGGCGGGAGGTTAAAATAAGGCCCGCACCATGGTAGAAAATTCGTTAGTGCGGGATCGCTGTCCAAAAATATTTCGTTGCCATGAAATACATAATACATGGGCTTCTATGAACGTTCGCCGGGGATCCGGAAATCTTTCGTTGCCGCGGGGATTTTGTACTCGCGAGGTTTCGTTATTGCGGGTTTCGATTGTACATTCTGTAAGGTCCAGCGCATGTGCAGATTTATTCTGGCATACAGTAGTACGGTAACATAAAAAAGTGTACAAGTCAAAAGCCCCTAATATGCTATAAAGCAGTTAATATGGCCATGATCGCACACTATCAGGAGCACACAGCAGCAATTATGAAGATGGAAGGCAGTAGTATGGGTGTGTAAATACAGTAGACTCTCGTTAACGGAACCTGAAGAGGCCAGGTAAATGTGTTCCGTTTAACAGGAGTTCCCTTCACTGAGAGATAAATAAGAGTGGAGAATCCAAGTATAAAACCAATCGTGCTGGAGGCAGCTGTTCCTTTTAAGCAGCAGTAACGCTTAACAGACTTTCGTTTACTGAGAGTCTACTACAGTGCCACTTTTGAAACCATATCAAAATACCAATCCAATGGTGTCAACAGCAAATTGAATCGTATATTGAATACTTTTCTGACATCCTTTGGACATTACACAGCTAATCTTACAATAAATAAAAAAATCACATCCTAGTATTCACTGTTTTAGCACTACAAGCATAATGGGAGCACCAGGAAAAAAAAGCAGTTTTTTCACATGCATGTACTCGAAGTTTCGCTGCTGCAATACAAAAGCGCTCATGCTTTATACCAACACTATGCTTGCAGAAATAAAATTTATTGCACTTCTGCCCTAATTATGTGCATCATTTAGGTGTAGTTCTCATTTTAAAGTTATACATAAGCTATTCAAAATACATTCATGTTTAGAAAATAGACAATATTCAATTCGATGTTGGAAATTGTCTAGTATTGGCAGATCGTAGACAACATCAAGTTTCGATTCGCACTGTTCTGCCATCATGAAAGTGGAAAACATGGGTCCTGAATTTCTTTTTTTAATTTTTTTTTATCGACTAATATAAAGCTTGCTGAGTTAATGCGTATTTGTGTGTAGATTTCAAACATACAATTTTTAAACATACAATTTGTGGAAGTGTATTGGTTAAGAGATTCGCACAATCAAGTACAGAGTTGAAACTGTCTTCATTCCTGATAATCAGGGCACGCAATAAGTGGCACTAGCTGCTGGTTTAGTCCAGAGGTCAGGAGAGTATGCAACAACGGTACTGTTGTGCATGTATATAACAAAAACTTTTCTACATGTTGATGCTGAGTACAGTAATTCTTATGTATGTTCAGCAAGACTTTTCTGCAAATTTTTTAGCCGAGCTAACAAGCTGTTTCGAATATGGGAACAGTTATCGCAATGCATTTAAGTCAAGCCCTGGTGAATCTAATCAAATATTTTTTTTTTAAATACAGAAGGTGGTGATAGATAATAAAGAAGTTGTCATCAATGATTCACAAAGTAGCTAGTGCTCTAGAGTAACTTGGTGACACTGCTTTAGTGTCTGCAACCTACAATACTCCAATGCATTCAAGATAAGTTAACGTATGTATAGATGCCATTTATAATCAACACTGAGAAACTTGCATGCTGTCATACAAAGCAAAATAAAATATCTTACAAAATCTTTTCTTTTTTTTCATGCATTTTGAACTAACATAAAGGGGAAAGACTGAAGCAAACGAAGGCAGCAGAGTACTTACTTGCTATAACCCCTGTAGACTGTCGCATAAGAACCTTCTCCTAGTTGTTCTAGTCGTACATAGGCCTCTATCCTACCAAAGGTCATGTTTCCCTACGTTTTGAAATGACATGGAGAGTAAGACAAGTAGAGTCTCAAGGCAGCCCAGAAAGACTAATGCCTCCCATTCAATTAAGAAGCCTATCCTACAAATTATCAGCAAGGAATGAAGTGGAAAAAGGACCCATGCAAAACTTTTGTGAAGAATCCCTCCTCTTACGCTAAAATTTTGCCATGGTCATACTGCATAAAAATTATTTCTAGCCAGAACCTTTGATTTGGGCAAGTTGGTACATACTTGGCTGGGGGAACAAGCACAATAAAAGGACGAGGACAAAGGAACACACTGCACAGGCCAAGTGCTCAATCTACAGCTGAACTTTACTGTGACAACTATTCACTTTTATAGAATATACAATACCATGCAGCCTTTCCAGTCAAACCTGCTACGTCAGACAGAATTCGACATTTTTGCAAAACGACATCAAGTGTGCTTCTTTAAAACCATGTGTGCGCAACTTGCACACTCATGTAAATGGCAAGAAAGTGGAAACAGATGTCAACAAACTTTAAAGCATGAAGGTTGGCTTGTTGAGTTATCGCTGCTGCTTTAAATTTTGTTGGCCTCTTTCCACTTCTTCGTCTTTTACATGAGCGTATGAGTTGTGCACGCATGGTTTTAAAGAAGTAGATGCAATAAATTTCCCTAAAAGTATGGATAGCTTTCTATCAAGAAATTAGTTTTACTTTCTTTGCTTTTTATATGAGTGTGCGAGTTGCGCATGCATGGTTTTAAAGTACACGCGATGTCCTTCAATGAAAATGTAGATTGCTTACTGACATGGCAGGTTTGGCTAGAAAAGTGGCATGGTATTGTACGCTGTAAAAGAGAATGGTTGGCACAGTAAAGTTTAGTTGTAAGTTTAGTGCTCGTTCTGTGCACTGTCTTCCTTCGTCCTCATTCTTTTGTTGCGCTGTGTTTCCTCAGCTAGCCTCAAAGCTACAATACTTTATTAGATCACATCAATTATGATGGCTATTATTAGTCATGTGGAAATATCAAATTTTCAAGAATAAAGGGACCTCAAACAACAAAAATCAATTGTGAGTCCAATATTTTTGGAATATCTTCAAACACAAATAGTACACTACTAACTTTCGCAAGAATTTTTTTTTTACTGCCCACAGATGAAAAAGTAAGTTGTTTGTCCAGCAAACAATATACAGAAAAAAAAAAAAGCGGGAGGCAGGAAAAGATGGAAGTTTGTGACGAAAAATTTATAAGCACTCGGTATGCTGAAGCCGAAGTTTCAACAAAACCAACTCAAGGCAGCAACATCCTTGGTTGTCAGCTCCAGCACACCACCTGTTCATGAATTCTTCAAAACAATATACAGAAAATTCATGCACTGCACAACACTACTACATTAGTGACATGACACATTACGCATGTTTAGTATACTCATCCTAAGAGAGAATTAGTTATCTGCCATCAGGTGGTAAATTATATGTTAATTTATCAATACTGCCTTTCAACATGACAAAGAGCTTGTTTCAGAAAAATTCTGGTGTCAGTGACATCGTCCTTGGTTAAGAACAAAAAAAGCAGAGTTGGCCATGAGCAAAAGCTCCAGATAGATGCAAATAAAGACAGGACCCGGAGGGCATGTGCACTTCCGTAAGGCATGCGCACTTTGGCTTTCCTAGCGACAGTTTAGGCCTCTTCCGAGAAGCAAAAGAAGGCTAGCAATTGGTACGATAATAGTGTGCACGTGTACACAGATATCACGAAGGCGCTGAAGACAAAGGCGAATTTCTGCAAACCCTAATTCTGCATTAGTTTTTCTGCAATTGCAATGAGCATAAAGTATTATATACTCATGCTAAATTTTACGGAATTTGATGCACTAATGAGCAAATCAATTTCCCTGGCTGCCTTGTCTCCTTAACTACTACTACCTTGACTATTTTAGGAAAACATCTATTTATCAACAATTGTAATACAAGGACCATCAAGATCCTGGTGGGATAGAAGGGTGCTAGAGCCCAGACAGGTTAGAGTACAATTAATCACTAAAATCAAAGCAGTTGCAATACAAAAAGAACCTTTCATGCATTACCATGTATTAAAATGCTGTTTATTTGTTTGTGTTTGATTCATGAAAAAAAGAACAGCTTGGTATTACCATGGGGAACAGTGCGAGAGGTGCAAAAGATCCGTTTCTGCCTAACTGCACTTTGCTCGTGCAGTCACTAGTCGATAGTAGTTTCGGTATCGCATACTGCTGCATATGCTTTGCATGCTCATGAAAGTCGCTGCGATGGAAATTTAGACAAAATACTGCGTGCATGTAATGTTGCCAGACGCCCAAATAGTGTATATCGCGTGAGCTGCAACAAAGACACCAACATGACTGTCCTCTGGACGCCACAAAATGAGCCCCCTACACTTGAAGTGGCGGAGTGCCATGCCTCTTGCACCAGTGTGCAAAACAGCCAAAAAACCTGCATGTGCGCTCATTGCCCTTTCGTGTGGAGTATTACATAATCAACTGAAACTTCGGTAAGAAGCTTCCAATGTGCCCTTCCGAGCAGTGGTCTGCTGCTACTTGTCGGGGGCTGTACAGTAAAGGCAGGAAACGTTGGTCAAGGCAACTGCTACGTTAGAAGGCCTGTTCAGGCGGGTGATTATAAAGTGTACCAAGGCCGTGCGGACCATTAAAAGGCCATTTTATTTTAAAATAAGCACTTCCTTCGCAAGAAAGTAGCACTACGAGGTTTGTGGACCGCTATTCCAACAATCACCATTGACTTAATATTTGCCATTAGTGTCCCTTTAAATGCAAAGTAAAATATCTTATACTACTTGTTTTTGTCTCCAGTGTGCAGAAAGCATTGATAGTACCATAGAAGCAAAAAATGTCCCTTTTAGGGTACCTCGAAATCGTGTCAGCACTCTTTTACGTGCAAATGCCTTCAACTCATGTGCACCCATCGCATGCAACAAGCGGTTGTGGTCTTATCAAAGACTGGAGTCCACTGCTATCTTGGCTCATACACAATTGGCACCCACCACAGATTACCTACAAGATAGCACAGCTGCGTGACATTGTGCAGCTGCTGACACCCACCATATATTACCTGCAAGGTAGCGCATAGCCATGCTATCTAGCAGCCATTGTTAAGCACAAGTCTAACGATGCTGAATCTATCATGGGCTACTGTGAAATCTTGGTAACTCTTGTAATTGAAGTTCAAGTTATACAAATTATTCAAGCAGTGTTTTATGACCTACGTATGACACTTATCTTATTGCACTCCTCAACCTCTATGGTAGTTTGGGAAAATGCAGTCCATATATTTGATGCTTAAACTCCATTTTCGCTCAGCTATCACACTATCACAAGATACAAGAGAATCTGGAGTATTCCAGGACATATATATTTTAACCACTCCTAAAAAATAATTCCAATGCAGAGCAAGCTCTTTGTATTTTGCATGACATTGCGATGATGACTCGAAAGAGAGGTAACTAGTAGTCACCGACCTCAAAAGTCATGGAGGGGCACCGGTGCGCTTTGGGTCCCTTCTCTTGAGAGAAGAAGATTTCAGATTTTGGTCGTGCAGGTTTCCGGGCAGTTGCCATCTGTTGGTACTCCATAGACGTGCACTCATCAAAGCTGCTGCTGTGTGGAGCAGGCCGTGGCCAGTGGCCTCCACTTCTGCCTGATGAAGCTGCAACAGCGGTCATTTCTGAAGTACGCTACAGGTGAAAAAATGCTATGATGGGCTGCTGTTGTATACTGAACAGGTCATGCGCTCTACAGTTTGTATTGTCAGCTGCAAAACTTAGCGGCATCTGCAGCGCATGACGAGGAGGGGGAAAACTGCATTGCTGTGCTACCTACCATGACACAGCGTGGTGTCGAGGCTATCGGGTGTGGCCTCCACGGTTACATCCGGTCATAAGTCAGCAAACTCACTCGGACTCGCTCAGACTCAGATCAGGCCACGAGTCAGAGTCCGAGTGAGCCTCAAAGAGTAATATTTTGGCGAGTTTGAGTCAGACTGAGTCTGGTTCAAGAAAATGTTTGCGAGAATGAGTCCGAGCATGACCAGTTCAGTAAAATTTAGGCGAGTCTCAGTGACTTTAAACCGCAAGGTATATCTCATGAGTGAGTCTTAGTGAGTTCCAAAATTTTTACTGAAATATGAATCTGGCAATGGCACGCTGTTTAAACGTGCCATTGCTGAATACTGCAGCTGCAGCCAATAGCCTCAACAAAACACTGCATCATGGTAGGAGGCAGTGCAGCAATGCAGTTTTTTCCTACTCCACCACGCGCTGAACATCCCGCTAACTTTTACGACCGACAGTACAATCATGTCCCAGTTGTGATAAATATATTCGTTCTCATCTTATGCACCAGTCAGTGCATCCTTATGCCAATTGTAACTGCACAAAAGAGATCAGCTTAAATACTCGCACTCGATTCGATGACAGAGTATTACCTAAAGTAAAAGAGAGAACATTTGCTCACACAAATATGCCATTCTCGTAGTGGGGAAATGTTCTATTTGCAACTGTGCTTCAGGATATCTTATAAGCAGCACAAGAGTTACGTTGCTACTTACATGTATCAGGCAATCCGTGATGGTGCTACACGACAATACTGCAAAACCAGGTGTAAAGAATATCTAAGGCAGAACAACCAATGCCCAAGATGAAGCACAAATCTGACCCTCTCCAATGAATGGAATGAAACTAGTTTTTTTAAATGTGAGGATATATGTATAGAAAAATTTCTGCTGTGAGAGCTTTGCGCTGAAATAGCAGAATGACAAAAGCTCAAAGAAGCTACTATGATAAAAACGATTGGGGTGTGCTTAGAAGCAAATAGTAGCCTAAAATGACAAAGGTTCATATTGCTAGTACATTGGATATAAAGGACCCTGACTGTTGTGGTGAAGACATGCATTTGTGACAGCACCCTTGAGAAATACCATTTCAAATCACACACAGTTCTTGACCTTCCAAACATGATTCCATTTGAGCGGGCAAGTCAGGAAAGCAGAACCATGTGTAAACGGCACATGTATAGTTCTTGCAATGTTTGTATGCACGACAGGGCAATACAACAGACAGTTCACAAAAATGGCAAACAGCTTCTTTGCACACAATCCTTTCAGATGACTTGATGTAGACCGATTTCTACCACACACCTTCGGATCGAGCAGCCATTTTGCAGACTTTGTTGAGGTAGCTGTGCGATGAGGACGTTCGAGGTGGTGGCAAGGGTGCAGGGGGGTCAGAGTGAAGCTTATCCTCACAAACTGGGCTCAAGTTGCCATTAGGCTCCCGGCCAGCTACATTGCTGTTTGGTGTCGAGCTGCGTGCATTGTCCAGAGCCCCATCCTCCACACTTTCACTCTTCTCGAAGCCATTCATTGTCACGCGTGTCACGGCAACATTCTGCAAACAATAGAAACTGGTTTAGATATAATCAGCTAAGAGCTAATAAAAAAAAAAAAGCAGTGGGTATGTCTTTCGAAACATACAGAGAAGATACCACAGAAAGACTGTTCAGTCTTTTTTTCGAAAGACAACAAGATTTTAAAAAATTATTAATGCTTTCCTACGGGACAAATTATAGGAACAGAAAAGATGACCCATTGAAAACAGGGCCACGAGACCATTTATGAAATTGATTTTCAGAAATATGGTAAAGTACTAAGCAATAAGGTAAAGAGCTAAGAATATTACCTGGCAGACAGTACAGCTATAACTAACACCAAGCATGAAATGTACAGTGTTTCAACAAATGCAAATTGAATACTAGTCATCATTCTGTCTGAATTCAAATCTGAAGTCACAATAAAATGCATCTTTTTAAAAGTCAACATACCCATGATTACTTCTTTTGTTTGTTTGTTAACCACGCACACAACAAGCTCAGCAAATATAAATCCATCAATAAATCAAAGAAACTAACTTCTCAATGAGAAATATGGGGGTAATAAAAAAAAATAGTGACAGTTTCGCCACACAGGCAAAGATATGAATGCAATAGCAAGAAACTGTAGCATTGTCTGAAGTAACACTGGTTGCCCACTACTTCAGCATCTGACATGATATAATTCAACAAAATGTTGGCGTAAGCAAACGGGGTCGCTGCATGAGCAGAGCGGCTGTTTTGCTTCCTATCAACTTAATGCAACACAAAGTCATGAGAACACAGCACCTACAAAAGTATGACCTGTCAGCTGATTACAGCCCCTACAAAGGTATGATTTGTCTGCCAATTCCTGGCAAGATCGGGCTTGCGCAATTGCACCCTACTGATCAAGGTACACAGTTTCTGCTGGAGCCAAGCAGAGCGACCCCCCTCCCCTCCAGAAACGTTTCCATGGGTTTTTCACGTGATAAAAGAGGTCGTTCGGGGCATTTTGTCTTACTTGTGTCCCGATCGTTGGCTGTCTTCATGCATGGAAGATATGACGAGTGATGCAATGCTATTGCCTTCAAACTTTACATGGAACCTCATGGCGAGTGCAAAAGTCTGCCTGGAGTGTACATATAATTGCCATCACAATAAAAAAGCACCAAATTTCAGATTGACAGATGTTGCGAATCTTTCAAAGTTCAAATGAGCTGTGGTACGCATCTTCAATAAATATCTGTACAGTTAAAGTGCCAGTAAACAACCATGAAATCCTAAAAATTTAATGAAAAGGGATATGCACTTTTGCTACGTGAACATGCTGCCGCAAGAAGTTTGTGAATACGTGCTATAAGGAAGTTACAGGGGTTAGAACATCAGTCTCAGCCGGTTCCAAATTCTCGTGCGGCTGCTCCCCATCGTTCTCTGTAGTAAAGGATGGCCTAAGTTACAAAACCTAAAGTTAAAAATAGAGCAAAGACAGATCTTGTTAAAGGCCATGGTCTTTTTTAAAACTAAATGAAAAGGCTAAAATATAAGTTTATATTATCTTTCACTATCATACATGCTAATTAAAATTACAAACATAAAAGCTTGAATAAAAGCAACATCTGTTTCTAAAATTAAAAGAATTATTAGTACAGAAATTCTTATTCTAAATGATATTTTCCTAAAAATTGAAATTGAAAAATTAAATGAATTAAAAGATGACCACTAATTATATTAGCAGTTAAACCAACAGATAATATAATTGGAAAAATCAAGTTACAGTTTCAATAAGTACCATGAAAAATTTTGGTATCATAAGTGATCCTAATAGAACTAGATGAGCTATTATTATATTAAATTTGTTAATAGAACTAGATGAGCTATTATTATATTAAATTTGTTAAATAGAGTGAATAAGATAATAGGTATTCAAAAAAGAAAATCAAAAACATTGTAAACATTAAATGTCTTGATTGTGTAAAAATATAAGGTATTAATCCTAGACAATTTTTATTAGCATAAAAATAAAAATAGGAGGAAAAATTTACAACAAATTAATTGATTCTTGTTTTTTAGTTTAAAGACAATCTTATTTTTTATTTAAAAATGAAAGACTTATTGTTATTATAATTACTGATAAAATGATTCAATTGATAGGAAAAACTGGTGGGATTCAAAAAACACTTATACAAGTTATTAAAGAATGACATTCTTTTGTGATATTTAGTTACTAGATTTCACTTAAAACTAACTGTTATTTGGTTTAAGAGATGACCACTTTTATTAGACACTCAATGAGAAGTTAATAAAATTATTAACATTAATTATTGCAGTTATTTCTAATGAAATGGGTATACTTTGTATAAAATCTTTATATATAGGTATTTATTATAATTATTATAATTAAATTATTATTTATTAAAACATTTTTATAAATCATTCCATGTGAAAAATTTTAAGTTAATAAAAGGAGAGGAATGATTATTTAAATGTAAATTAGTTAAAGAAGATAAGGATCAAGATTAAAATTAAATTTATTTCTATTAGCAAATAAATAGATACAATTTTTATAAAGAAGTCTAAAATGTGGGTATTCCTGATAAATATATCATTAACATAATTGTTTTACCTTAATTTTCAGGTCTTATTTTATCTAACAAAATAAAGAAATAATATCTTTATTACAAATTTTTTTGTTAAAAATCATACTAAAATATAATAAGTAAGTACCATAACTCAAAAGTTTAGTTTTCTTTTAACAATAAGAGATAACATGCCTCCTTGGTGTGAAATTCCGGAAAAAAACTGAAGCTTTTTTTAAACGTTTATATTTTATTGCTAAAATTGCCCGTCGTCGTGGCTCTGCCCACTTTGGGGACGTGACACAATGTCCATGATACGTCATTCGCGAGGAACCAACAAGTGGGGAATAGCAGCGTGGGCAGAAAACGTGAAGCGAGGAGCACTATTTCCCCTCTCGGTTGAGTAGTGAGACGCCTATTTATCTTGGAAGCTTTCATTCTGGCAATGCCGCTTTCCCCGGAGATTCAGGCTCTACAAAATGACAGGGGGTGTAAAAAAAGAAAGAAAAAAAGTCGGAGCTGTTGCATCCAACACTCCGTGCGTTTGCTAGTGAACATGCTCGCGTGACAAATGGCATCACGATAGGGATCGGTATACTTTGTTGTTTGCTGTTTATGTGCGCATTTGCGATAGGATGTGTGTGTTCACGGACACTGGCATGCGAGTTTTTGCTTTGTGTGTGTGTCAATGAGTACGGAGCCATTGGAATAAAGACGTTCCACGAGCAAGTTTCTCTCCATGCAGGTAACAACAATAGCCTGTATACTGGCTTAAATTAATAAAGAGGTGATAGGATTTAGTTGTAATATATTATAAAAATATATAAAACAACAAAAAATTCTGGCAGAAAAATAATATTACATGCCTGACAAGAAGAGACAAGAGATGTCCAAAGACTAAATACTTAAACATAAAACTTACAGGAGGGCATAAGCTCACCTTTCATAATAGATATGACTTTGAAATCAGTGTCACATCAAACATATGAAACTTGAACAAGAAGGCCTACCAAACAGTTAGCTTTTTGCCAACAAATGTGACACCCTCCCATTCTAAAGAAAAGAAAATATGGTAACGAAAAGAATTGATGCATTGTTAATAACAAAAAAACTTGGTACTATCGAAACTGTTTTACACAGTGCTTAACAAAAACTAAAGAAAGCCATTTGCGCTAGGAAATCAAATTGGCCGGGTTATGCGAGTGCTGCAGTGGATAATATGCAGCACCGAAACCAAGCAAGCACGAGAAACTAGGCAAACACGAGAAACTAGGCAAGCATGAGCCGGCAAACAACTTCATCAGTATGTTAGCTAGACCTTATCTTCAGCTGATAATAATTAATAAAATGTGCACGCGGATGCAATCTTAGCAGTATTGCCATGTTTCGCCCCATTTGTTCAAGAGCGAAGCAGATGAGAATTCCAAGGGCTCGTTTCCGTAATTGGTGAAGCTCAACTGTTCAAGCCAAGAATCGACATTTGTTGCATTTTGCAAGTGGAGTCTCTTGTGAAGCAAAACGAATTGATCTACTAAAGGTGTTATTTGTTATTACACTGATGAATATGATTGATTGATTTGTGGGGTTTAACGTCCCAAAACCACCATATGATTATGAGAGACGCCGTAGTGGAGGGCTCCGGGAATTTCGACAACCTGGGGTTCTTTAACGTGCACCCAAATATGAGCACACGGGCCTACAACATTTCTGCCTCCATCGGAAATGCAGCCGCCGCAGCCGGGAATCGAACCCGCGACCTGCGGGTCAGCAGCCGAGTACCTTAGCCACTAGACCACCGCGGCGGGGCTACATTGATGAATAGATGGATAGCCTAGATGAATTTAACTTCTAGTATACAAGTTGTCCCAAATTTCATTCAGCATAATAAAAAAAGAATGTTGTTAACTGCAACAGCATTCTTACAGGTGTCATTTTGTGTCTCTGTGTTTTTTTTTTTTATCATACGCACTGGAAATGCATGAATGCATCATTCAAGAGTACATCACTTGCACTCTTTCCACTTCATGCACGCGGCAAAGCTGTTGGCTATTTCGCATTCGCTTTTGAGCCGAAGCCTCGCTCAACACCAGCCTAATGCAAGTCTCGCAGACACATACACTATCATTCCCAGCGGTCCGACGGGGCACCTTCAGAAATTCGCATAGACAGTGGCGCCACGCTTCCCTCTAAGCATATTTGTGAGAAACTATGAGTTCGCCAAGCGATGCATGCTATTCCTGTATAACTTGCACCACAGCGCCTGGGCCAGCAGCGGGGCCGTTCCTACACCTCTCGGAACGCGCGCGTCCAGAAAGCAAGAAAGGCGTCCCCGGAGAACGGGAGTGAAACACTCGAGGGAAAAGAAGGGGGGGCACCAAGCACGCAGATCGATAACGCAGCTTCAGGTGCGCGCACAACACGCAGGCGCGTGCACTCGCTTCTGGGACGACGCGCGGCGTAAC